TTTTCATGAGTAATTAAAAGATATGAAAATATATTCATAAGTAATTAGCTTTTTTTTTATATTGTTAACAAAATTAATTGTAAATAATTCATATAAGGTAAAAATATTGGATATTTAAAAGGTAATAAATGTACTTAATTTAGTCTGACTAATTATTTTTTAAGTAATAAAAATGTTATTATAAAAACTAATAGAAAATTTTTAAATAAGTAAAATGTATTTATTAGAAAATATATAGTGATTTTTTAAAACCATCCACATGTCAAAAAATGTAAGCTATTCACATTAAAGTATTTCTTTTTTTTTTTTATCAAAAACTTTGACTTTTATATATTTATATAATATATAAGATGTCAAAATTTTAGGACTTATTAAATGAAAAAAATGGTAAATTTTACAAAATTGAGGAATCTGTCCCATTTTTATAAGATTAGAAAAAATTACAAACTAACACTTTTACATCATTTAAAGCTTTATTCACTAAAAACTTAGAAAATAATTTTTTCATTTTCAATTGAAAGTAAGACATATTTGCCAAGTCATAATTAGCTATATCATTTTAAGTCGACCTGGCTGACAATACAATATCTGAAAATCTTTATAATTTGGCTCCCAATCAATGTATAGCTGCCAAGTATGGTAGCAGCCAAATTAATCAATCATCATTAGCATCTTATTGCAAAGTCTTGCAAATCAATATAATCTTATCGAGTAAGCACTCAAAATAAAACAAAATCGTTAAGCTTTTGTGAACCAATATCTCGCAAAAGAAAAGAATTATCTAGTAACATCAAATTCAACATATATATAGAAAATATTAAAGATTCACCTTTAAATTATAAATTGTTAAAAAAATTATACCGAAATATATAATTGATAAAATGGCTATTCTAAAAATAAAATCTAAGAATTGCACAAACAAAAATGAGTGAAGTCTCAATAAATTTACAAAAGAATAACAAGCAAGACTACCAAATAAAATTTTTATAAAAACATTGACAAAATTGCAATAAAACAAAGTTGAAATCAAATTCGATTAACTTAATATTTTTTTGGATGAATATTTGTATTTATATTGCTATAAAGAGACATTATCGTAAATGTATTAAAAAATTACTATTATTAATCGTATAATGTAATAAGTAATAAAATATATGAAATTAATGTGATTTTTCCTTCATAATTATAAATTTATGAACTCTTGCCAAATTTGTATTTAAAAAAAATAAAATCTTTCTTAGTTTTATGACATCATTATTGTCAACCAGTTAAATGACTAATTTTTCTCTCCTTGTTTACTACATTAAATTTCATTTAATTTTTCATGAGTAATTAGAAAATATGAAAATTTATTCATGAGTAATTAGCTTTTTACTTAGTTTCTATTTTTATTTGTATTATTGACAAAATTAATTGTAACTTATTCATATAAGGTAAAAATATTGGATATTTAAAATTTTATAAATGTAATTAGTTTAGTCTAACTAATTATTTTTTAAGTAATAAAAATGTTACTATAAAAAATAATAAATAAAATGCATTTATTAGAGAACATAAGGTGATTTTTTAAACCTATTCACATGTAAAAAATGTAAGCTATTCACATTAAACTATTTTCCTTTTTATCAAAGGTTTGACTTTTATATATTTATATAAGATATAAGATGACAAAATTTTAGAACTTGTTAAGTGAAATAAATGGTAAATTTTACAAAATTTAGGAATTTGTTCCATTTTTATAAGATTAGTAAAAATTACAAACTAATACCCTTACATTATCTAAAGCTTCATTTACCAAAAACTTAGAAACTAAATTTTCCATTTTCAACTTAAAGCAAGACATATTTGTAAGGTTATAGTTAACTATATCATTTGAGGTCGACTTGGCTTATACTACAATATCTAAAAATCTTTATAATTTGGCTCCTAACCAATGCATAGCCGCAAAGTATGATAGCATCCAAATTAATTAATCATCATTGGCATCTGATTGTAAAGTCTTCCAATCAACATAGTCTTATCGAGTAACTACTAAAAATAAAACAAAATCATTAACCTTTTGCTAACCAATACCTCGTAAAAGAAAATAATTATCTAGCAACATCGTATTTAACATATATGTAGAAAATATTAAAGATTCACCTTTAAATTATAAATTATTAAAGAAAAAATTGTACTTAAATATATAGTTGATAAAATGGCTATTCTAAAACAAAACCTAATAATTGCACAAACAAAAATGAGTAAAATCTCAATAAATGTACAAAAGAATAGCAAGCAAGATTACAAAATAAATTTCTTATAAAAAATTGAAAAAATTGTAGTAAAACAAAGTTGAAGAATAGTCAAATTCAATTAACTTAATATTGTTTTGGAAGAATATTTGTATTTATATTACTATCAAGAGACATTATCATAAATAGAGTTAGCAATGGGGTGAAGTGGGTTAGATTTTTTCTTTTCTCGCCTTCGACCCAAAGCTTTAATAATTTTACTCAATACCTTACCTATCCTCACTCGGATGTTTTAGTTGAAAAACTTGACCCCGACCTACTAAGAATATTATTTCTTCGAATCTGACCTGACCCAACCTGAATTCAATCTATTACCAATTTAAATTTACTAAAAACTTAACAAATTATAGTCTAAATATATTATAAGCATTAACAAATTTAATCAATTTTTAATTAAAAGGAATTATTCAAGGCATTTTTGATCAAAAAATGCTTTGAATAATCTTTACAAAAAATTCAATGGGGTTATTTAAGGCCTTTGTGGTAAAAAAACACCTTAAATAATTTTTAAATCTTAAACCCTAAACCTTAAATTCATAAAAATTTAATGAAATTATTTAATGCGTTTTTGCTCAAAAAATACCTTGAATAATCCCTTACAAAAAATTGAATAGCGTTATTGAATGCGTTTCTACTCAAAATCCTAAACTCATAAGAATAATTCTTAAACTCTAAACCTTAAATTCTAAACTCATAAAAATTTAAAGAGATTATTTAAGGCGTTTTTATTCATAAAATGTCTTTAATAATCTTTTACAAAAAATTGAATGGGGTTATTCAAGGCGTTTTTAGCAAAAAAGCCTTGAATAATCCCCTCAAAGGTTATTTAAAGCGTTTTTTCCAAAAATGCATTGAATAATCTGCTGTCATTCTTTTTTTGAGATTATTCAAGGTGTTTTTGGCTAGAAAATGCCTTGAATAATCCCTTACAAAAAATTTAATAGGGTTATTTAAGGAGTTTTTTTTACCAAAAATGCATTCAATAATTTATTTCAATTTTTATGAGGTGATTATTTAAATCATTTTTGATCGTAATGCCTTCAATAATCTCAATAAATTTTTTTGTAAGAGATTATTCAAGGTATTTTTAAGCAAAAATGTCTTAAATAATCTCTTACAAAAAATTTAATGAAAGTTATTCAAGGCGTTTCTGCAAAAAAAAAAAAAGACACATTCAATAATCTCCTAATAAAATTTTTTGAGGATTATTTAAGGTATTTTTGACAAAAAACGCCTTGAATAACTTCATTTAATTTTTTGTAATAGATTATTAAAGGTATTTTTTATGCCAAATGCCATATATAAATCAAATTTTTTACCAGCAGAAACCTACAACTAACTAGCATTCATTTCCAAACATAATTTTCAAAATGATAACGGCTATTTCATAATTTTTTAGTCAGGTCAAATTTAAAAATAACGCTACTTTCCCTCTTGGAATCCTAGAATATAAAAAAGAGAGATGAGTTTTTGATTTTGAGACTTTGGATACTGTTAAAAATCTGTTAGTTTTCCTTGAAATCAGATTACCTTAACCAAACGTTGAAATCAAATATCCAACATTAAAATTTCGAAGGAAAATATGTAGATTCTCTCAAAACAAACGGCCCCTCAGTAAATTAAAACTCACAAATTCTCACCATAAATGATGAAATTATGAAATATATAAAACTTAATAAACTAAAATTCAAACATCAAACAAGCATAAGTTAATGACTAAATTTTAAACATAGTATATGATACAATATAAACATCAAGGGTATTTTGGCAAATATCCTAGGTGAGTCGGGTTGAATTTCATATAAACCCGACCTTGACCCAAATTCACCATTCAAAAAAAAAAAAAAATTGACCCGATCCGATCTAAAATCTATTTTTTTCAAAAAAAAATTGACCATAGATGATCAAGTCGGATCAAAACTCGACGATTTCGAGTTGATCTGTCGTTCCTAATTGTAAATGCTTTAAAAAATTACTCTTATTAATCGTATAATATAATAAGTAATAAAATACATGGAATTAATGTGATTTTTCCTATAAAATTATAAATTTCTGAGCTTTTGCTCAATTTGCATTAAAAAAAAATCTTTTCTAATTTAATGATATTATTATTGTCAATCCATTAAATGACTAATTTTTCTTTCTTTGTTTATTAAATTAAATTTTATTTAATTTTTTATGAGAATTAGAGGATTTGAAAATATATTCAAGAGTGATTAGTTTTTTATAAAAAAAATTTAAATTTTATATATTTATATAAGATATAAGATGTATAAACTTATTGAATTAATTTCTTAATTTCTACTTTTATAATAACAAGTAAAGCACAATTTATTTTAAACATATACATATATTTATCTTCAAATCAAAGTCAAATACCACTACATTTTACTGTCTAAAAGTACCGGCGGTGGAATGCTTACGCATAAATGAATGAAAATATCAAACAAGTGTGGCCAGATATGACAAACAATTAGTGGAGAAAAATTAGGTTTATTTGTTTCCTTTTGACCACGTGATATAACAAGTTCTATCACAAAAGAAAATGTATGATGACAAGTTTGCCACGGAATACAGCCGCCATTATCTTATCTTTCTTAACTTTGGGCAGCAGAAAAGATTGTCGGTTTGGAAAACACATCTGGCTTTCAGACTTCACAGCTATAGCTTTATAAGCGTGTGCAGATCCATGGTCAAAACGCGTATTCGATCACTCCCTTTTCTTTTTTCTTACAAACATTACCAAAATCATATATTTCTCTCTTCAAATTTCTCCCATGCCCTTTTTGATTTTCATACTCTCTTGAAAAAGCACATATCATGTGTTCTGTAGATTACTTTGATTGTCTTCCAGATGCTCTTCTTCTCCTCATCTTCAACAAATTGCAAGATGCCAAATCTCTTACCAAATGTCTTTTGGTCTCAAAGCGTTTCTCTTCCCTCATTCCTTTAACCGACACCATTTTTATCTCAATCCCACCTCTCCGACAACACCAGTTAAAACCAAACACTGGTTCATATGTAAATACTTTGAGACTTCTTTTTCGTAACCTGTTGCTCAAACCACTCGGATGTTTCCATCAAATTATGGCTCCCAAGTCAGCAACAAGGTCATATGATAGTTCGTATTGTCAGCCAAATGGGGTTTTGAAGAATTTCAAGGAAACGAAATCATTGCATTTAGAGCTTCCATCACATGGAGATGAGTTGGGATCAGGAAGTGGTGGGGCTTCTTTCCTTAAATGGAAAGCAGAGTTCGGAAGCAATTTGAAGACTTGCATTATTCTTGGAGCAACATCTTGTCAAACAAGTAACAAGTTTTCATCATCAAGTTTTTGCTTAAGACAAAAACAAGAGGAATGCATGGAGGAAACCTTAACCGATGATGAGCTGAAACTACGAGTTATATGGACTATTTCCTGCTTAATTGCCGCATCAACAAGGCATTATCTGTTCAAGCAAATTTTAGCTGACCATCCAATTCCAAAGCTTCAAAGAGTGCTGATTTCTGATGCAAAAAAACAAGGGAAGTTTTATGTAGGAAAAGATGAGCTTGGTGAGCTGAGGAATTCCGTGAACTCAGAACAAGAAACACTGGAATCATCATCAATGGAGAGGACTCCATTTCCAGAATTGAGCATGAAGCTATGGTACTTACCTATGCTAGAGTTGCCAGAGTCCGGTTATGTGATGAGGGGAGCAACACTTGTCCTTATCAGACCTGTTGATGGGATAATTGAACAGAGCAGTAGTACCGATATAATCGTAGGGAGCTTGGACTCGGAAGGTGATGATGGGAAGGCATTTAGTGAAGCTGCAAGAGAGATGATCAAAGTGAAGAAGAGTTATTTGATGACAATGAGTTCCTTTTGAGATGTAAATATATGTAGTAGCTAATGAAAAATATATGCTTACAATTCCCTTCTTAAATAGAGATTTAAACTTCGAATCATCTATTTTCTCTACATTTCTCCAAATAAAAACTGTCCCAAATATGTTAGTCAGTCAACTGTTAATCTAGCTATTTAGTTTTCTCGAAAAAAAAAAAAAAGTAAACTACACCTATATGCATATTTTTTTATATATTTTTACTTATATTATGATTCACTTCCTTTACAAAAAGAAAGAACGACATTAAAATAAATATGAGGGTAATTTTATAATTACATTAAAATCTGTTTGATTTTTAACATCATTACTTCTTTTGATAATGGAAGAGAATGACAAGGCTACAAGTGAGAAAAAAATTTACATAATTACGTAAGTAGAAAGCCACAAACGACATTGGGTGTATGTGAAGTTTTTCAAAAAAAAAGAAAAAAACTATTTAGTCCACTTAAAGAAGATAGCCAATGGATGTTATTATAAATACGTTGTCATGCTAACTAAATCACTGCAGATCTAGACTTTTAGATGTTTGAATTTGAATATTTGAACGAGAAATTTTATTTCAAAGCTTTCAAAAATTTGAAAATGAATTCATTTGTTTGAATAAAAAATTTTTAAAATAAAAAAAAAATTAACTATTTTTTTTTTTTTTGAAATTTCACTTAAAATGTGATTTTTTTTAAATTTTTTCAAATTTACTCACATTTAGCCCCCAAATGATTCATCATACAATATAAAACTCAAAAATAAAATTATGTTTTTAAACATTAAAGTTAAGATTGATAAAAAGTAATAATGTGAAACACTCTCAAGTTACTATAATATTGGATTTAGAGATCACGAAACAAATAAATAAAATCATATATTTGAGTTTAAGGAGGCAACTTCATTTTATTTAATCTAAAGCTAAACTAATATAAAAGTTTATAAACTAAGAGGGGTTTTCATTTTTTTGGTTTAGACCGGAGGTGCAGTCTTAGAATAGATTCGGCCTCGCCTATATTAACTTCCTCTAATTAATACGTTATGGATTAAACTTTACCAAAGAGTTAAGCTCATTTTTCTTTAGGTTAACTTATATGTTATATTTAAAAAAAAAAAAAATGAAATGAAAAAAAAAAAATTGTATGAATTAATTAAATTAAAAATTGAATTTTATATGTTATATTTTTTTCTTAGGTTAGGCTTTTATCTTTTGAATTGCCTTCATTGTTAAGCAATTCTTATGAGCACGTATTAGGATAAGTAGTTATCTAAAGAATCCTATTCCTATTAATTGGATTTAAAACTCAACGCGTTTTTTGTTTTTTTTTGTTTTTGAGTTTTCCAATGTAAAGAAGAAGAGAAAGCAAGAAACCAAGCTGCTTCATGTACAAACAAAATGAGAAGTAAATTTCAATATGAGTCTTATGATTGGTCAAAGCGCGCAGACCATGGAGAGTCCAATATCAGCCTGTTACTCAAAAATAGTACCTCCGCGCTATGGGATTGAGCGAAGACAGCACATATTTAGCAAATTTTGTCATAACATTAACTTGTTTGGATTTCTTTTTCTTTTTTGAAGGTTGTTCTCCAGCAGTGGCAGCAATGTACTCTTCTGCATTGATATTTTGGAAAGATTTTTGCTTCCCAAACTTCTTGGCCTTTTGCTGCAGTGGAAACCAAGGCGGTACTTGTTAGAAAAAATTTCACTAAAGCTATGCCTGATTTTAACAAATATCATAGAAAAGACTGAGATCTTATGATCAAATATTACCTTCAATGACATGGCAAGGGCAGCCACATCTTCCTTGTCATTCTCAGACTTGTTAGAATCTTGTTTCACAGGTTCCTGCAACAAATAACATTTTTAAAAATAAATTTAAAAAAATTAATAAAAATGGATGGGCAAGGGTGTCTGTGCCTGTATAGGCTTCAAAAAGACCTTGGGAGGAACAATTGCTTCTTTGATCTTTTCTTTTGTTTTCAGCTGTACTTTTCTGTCCCTGCTTCTGTTGACATTTCTTAGCAAGCAAGTAGTAATCAATATCTCAGTTTAAAGGAAAAAGACAGTCTGCTGAGGCCTGAGGGGTTAAAAAGGTGGGAAGATGAGTTTTTGCTTCAAAGAACCAGCCACTAATTGTTGACTCCAAATATTTCACCATCCAGATCATAGAGTAAATTTCCAATTCCTATGTACTAGTTCTTACACACCAGTGTAAGTTTGATCAATCCAAAAGCTATGGTAAAGATTTTATCCATTTTTGAAAATAAAATCAGCTAAATGCCCCCATGGAAACTCCATGGCTTGCACAGAATTGATAGCTCATGCTTCACTGGGGTCATCTAAATAATTGACTAAAGATCCAAAAAGCTAAGGAAAAGATTTTAGTTCATTTCGGCAACAGAATCAGCTAAAATGCCATCATCAAAACCCAAGGTTTTTACGAAATTTCTTTTGGAATTCTCTCCCATTCACCTACATGGAAGACCCCTAATTGCACTTAAAGCAGGTGGAAAAAAACTTAGAGCTAAAACTGGAGAACAATGTCATGTTGGAAAAAACAAGGAAACATCTGGTTCTAATATAACCAGGGAGACAAAAAGCAATCAAGTTACCATGGAAAACCTAAATGACTAGCAACTATCTTACCTTACTCTTGACCTTCTTAATTTGTTTGAACATTTTTCTTGGGAACATAGTTTGATAGTTAAAGGAACATGTAACAGAACAGAGCATGAAAATAAAATAATATGTTGAAACATACATGAACAGAGACAGAGAATTTGGTTTTTATGGGTGCTTCAATGGACTTTGTCCAGGTTGCATTTTGTCTCTGAACAAAAATCAAGAACTAGTACAGAAAGGAATTAACTATCCTTCCTCCCACAAATGTCTTTCAATATGGAACGATACAGGGCTTCTGCGAAAGGTTTTTTTTTTTTTAATTTGATATTTTATTTTTCAATTTTTAGTTTAAAAGTAAACAAGTTTATATGTTCACAATAAATTATTGTTGTTCTTGGCAAAAGATAAAAATTTTTGCAAGTTTATATGTTCTAAAAACTATTATTAAGCCATAAAATCCCAATTTTCCATTACAAACAATCTCACTCCATTAGTTCTTAATTATTTATTTATTTATTAGCTTCTTCTCTCTTCTCATCATTTCAGTCCATAAATTTGAATATTATATATGAATTAGAATAAATAATTAGTTTCAATTCATTTTTTTTATACATTATCAGTAATTTTTTTTTATATATTATCAATAAAGTTTTTAAATTTTACAAATGTTATTAAGAAATTGTCATATCATGTATTTTTATTTGCTACATTATTTTTTAATATATTTTAATAGAATATGTGTTATCTTACGGTCCTTAAACTTTATTGATGATAAATGAGATAACTTTTAAATAAAATAGAATGTTACCTCCGGCTTGCATGGGGATTTTTTTTTAATTTTATTAAAAAAAATAATTTTTAAATTAAAAAAAAAGAGTTTAAAAATCTTATATCTAGAGTTTTTTTTTTATATATGGTTATTTGTATTGATTGGTTATTGTTATTTTTTTTTTTGTAATTTATTAAAAAATTTTAAATATAATATTTTTAGGTCTTAAATTATATATATATATTTTTGCTTTTAAAAGATATTTTAAAAGATATTTTAATTTTTTGATCTGATAATTTTTAAAATTTTTTTGTTAGATCTTTTAGTTGATTTTCATGTAAGTTATTTTTTCAATTGATTATTTTTAGTTGCAATTTTTTTTATCTTTATAAGTGATTGAAATTTAATATGTTAATTAGTTTTACAATTTTGAAGGTTGATTTTTTATTTGACAAGTTAAATATATTTTTATGGATTTTTTTTATTATGTAGGTGCTTATTTTTTTCTTTACAAAAGCATAGGAGGGTATTGGAATTGCCAACAACACATCATCATCTCTATACTCAACTCCTATTATATATATATTTTTTCATTACATAAGCAAATAAAATTTTAAAATTTTTTTATTTTAAAAATGTTCACATGTTAAGTTAAGTAAAGGGTTTATCACATGTTAACGTAATAACTATTAAAAACATTTGAAAAAATAAAAAGACAATAGAATAACACATGGCAAGCAATGGACTTGCCACAAGTCACTACATTATCCTTTAGGGATAATTTTTATATATAGGACAAGTCTCTATTATTGACCTCTTCCTTAACTTTAACCCAACTTAAATCAAAGTACTCTAATTAAATATCTTTCTCATTTTTTTAATAAATAAGATGAATATTTTATCACTATAAAAATAATATAAGTGTAAGTATGAGTTATCATGTTTTCTAAGTTATTTTTTACCTTTTTATGACTATATATATATATATATATATATGACTTGAAATCTATTAATCACCTCGCCTGAAATTATTAATTAGGAATTATCCATAATATTTATTATGTCATTACTTTCCTTCAATATTTAATGTTTCAAAGTAATAGATCTTTTTGTATTGAATTATTAGGTGTCAATCCTAATAAAAACTTTAAACCATAAACCTTAAAAATTTTAAATCTTAATGCAAAAATTTATTTTACTCTTATAACAAAACGTGAATTTTTATCTAGTGTGTGTCTATATATATATATATATATATATATATGGTTTCTCATTAATTTAAAATATGTATCACAAACTAAAATTTGACATGTTATTTTAAAATTAAAAATAAAAAAGTTTGTCAACAATTTTCTTCTCACCAAGAAAATTAACTTTCTTTTCTTTTTTTTTTAATTCAATGTTTACTGCTTTTTTAGGTTTAAAAATGATTATAACAAAAATTCATTTTCTATAATCATCAATGAAAATTTTAATTTACATAAATAAGACTCAAATATGTTTTTTTTTTTATTATGATATTAGTTATTTTTTTTAATTTTATTATATATATAAGTATGTATACAGATTGTAATGGAATGTTTGAATAAAAATGAAAAAGAGAAAAAAAAGGTCTTGGGATTCAATATAGAGAATAAAGATTAATATTGTTGATTTGAACCTTCC